GTCACAGCGAACGTCGTGGTGAGCTGGCACGTCTGTCAACGTTCGTACGGGGGTTAGGCAGAACAACACCGATATGCCCGACACTGTTCTTGATGGGAATCCTCAGGTATGGCCTGTCATAGCCACGGGTTACATCGGGGTGTGCTGGTCTCCTTCCTTGGTGTCAGAGTTTTGACCGAGACCCATACGCTTAGACCTAGAGTGGTTGGTGGTGGTATGGGTCCCCGTCAGGCGAGACAGAGCCCGAGGCCTTGGGGTTAGGCGAGGCGGAGCCCACGGCCTCGGTGTCGGGCGAGGCGGAGCACAAACCCAAGGGTCAGGCGAGGCAGAGCCCACGGCCTCGGGATCAGGCGAGGCGGAGCTCGCCCCCAGAGGTTGGGCGAGTTGAAGCCTTTGCGCATGGGGTCGGTTGGAGCTGTAGTCGCGCTCTTGACTGCTCGGATAAATCAATATTGATGGTCATTAGCTCCTCCTCTTTGGGTACCCTAGTATTGGTCTATTGACGCAAAAATGTGACGATGCGCGTGACACACAGCAAGCCGGAACGATCTGAGCGAGATCAACCCATAGATCTTGCTTGGCTTCACAATAGGACCAGTCGATCCTAAAAATTTCAAAAGGCGTGCCAGTCAATTTGACCTGCAATTGACAAGAAGAGGAAGTTTTTCAGTAGTTTAGGGTGGAACATGTCGTATTTGCCCAGACAATTCCAAGTGTGCTGCTTCGAGAGCAGCAAAATAGGAGAATCGACTAAATAGCCGATATGAGGAGAAATCGAGTGTTAAGGACTATGATGTTCGTGGGTCATGATTGATTTATGATAACAAGTACAATACACCCAGATATAAGTAACATCATCGACTAGATGGATATAACCAGTGTAAAGCATTGAGCCGATAAGTTTAATTAGGAAAGATATAGCATGCGAATAAATCGATTGTCTAGTACAAACGAATCTACAAACACTCTGAATCTAATCTGTTACCATCAACAGCGAGGTTCGACCGGATCGATACAACTATGATAATAATAACAAACTAAAGCCAAAGAATCCATAAAACTATCTATATATTGACGGTTCATGAAAAAACATGCTATATGTGTGAAGGCACAGACGAATCGGCTAAAATAGCCGATGCATACATAGCAAACAAATAGAATACATATCTCGATAACGAACAAAACCAATAATCAATAATCTCTAATTTAAAGTCTTACCAGTGAGGTTCGACCGGATCGATGTAGCTATGGTTGTGTCATTAGATTAGATCTCATTAACTAGTGAGTTCATCCAAGATCGAAAACGTGTCTTTGAATGCATACTATATTTGATTGGAATAGAGATAAAACAGCCGATCTAGCAGAATTAAGTCATCAATTATGAGATTCAAAATGTGACCTGACTAGAAGACGACCAATTATGATGATATGATGCCGATCTATTTCTATCTCAATCAGATGATTTATTATGATTAATAGAACATTAATTATAACAAGATCGATAACTGGTGAATCAACCAAGAACAGTTAGGAAAATCTTACTAATCTTAGAAGATTCGATAACTGGTGATATTGTATTAAACAACAAGTTATTTAACATAAGATCGATAACTTTGATCTATATTATGATCCGTAAGAGATCAATCAGTTGATGCAGCCTTACGAATAATGATACAGATCAATAACTAACTTATACTATACTCGTAAAACATCAATCAGTTGATGCAGCTTTACAAGCATAATATAAATCGTGACGGTATTCACAGACAAGTCAGAGGTCTATTAGTCGATGCAGCCCTGCTTGTTGAAGAACTTGTCGAGATCTACAGTACTCCTACTCCTAAGGGTTGGCGTGAAGCCGAAAAAAGTAATTGTATTGGTTGGTTGTTCGTGCCTTTACAATAACCGGGGTCCAATATTTATACCCGGAAGCTAAACATGAATCATACTCAAATACGACTTATTACAATTCTTGGAACAAAAGAAAACATTCCTAACTCAAATATAATTTAGACTCTAATCTTTTTTTTTAGAGTTCGACATTTTTTCCCCGACGCCATCCGTACGTAGTCTATTAACGTCGTCTGCGGACGTCATCTATAAAATAGCCGATTCCGACACTGCATTAAAACCAGTCGATATCGATTCATATCTGATCGATTTCTTAATTATACAATCTTAGAAGCTTCGAGTTTCAGCTTTCTTCTTTTCAGATTTTGGTGTAAACATGGTCCCTGACACTCGGGGATCCAAACACCCCCAGTTGAATGCTATTGTGGCTAGGAAAAGTACGGGCAATAGTGGAGTGACGGGCTTACTCCCAAATGTCATTGTATATTTCTATTGGCTTTGGTCATCTGTTTCGATATGAGGGGACAGTTGTGATGTCCCCATTGTGCCACTTAGGTGGGATAACACCTCCTTACGCTGGCTAGGCGAGACTGCGTCAGCATAATGGTAGACATGCTAGGCAATCTGTGTCGTTGTACAGTTCTTAGACCGACTCCAACAAAGCTACCCAAACCCAAATATAAGTCTCGCACAGTGCTTTGCCTATCAGATTACCGGCTCCAACGGATCACCCATTCATACGACGCATTTTAGATACCGGCGCAAAGGAAACGCAAAAAAGCGTCCCCTCTCTCCTCGCTACGCAAAAGCCGCCCGCTTGCCCGGCCGCGCCTCCCCTTCCTCCCATCGCTCGGTAGCGCGCAGGCGGTGGGTCGGATCTCGGCCGCGTGCTCGCCCCGGATGGCCGCGCGCCGAAGTTGGGGGCGGAGCACGCCCGCCCGCCCGCGCCCGTAGCCTGGAGCGCCGCTCGCCCGCCCGGCCGCACCCGGAGCCTAGAGCATCGCCTCGCCCCGCGTCTGGAGCGCCGCCCCGCTCTTGCACCCGCCCGCCAGAGCCCGGCCACTGTGCCCGCCTACCGGAGACTCCTCTTCTTCCTTCCCGCGTCGAGCGCCGCCACTGCCCCCACTGTCCGCCATGGAAGGCAACTGGCGGCCGGCGCGAGTGGTGGAGAAGAGCTCGATTTGGGGACGGGAAAGCTCGATTCGGCGGTGGGGAAAGTCGATTCGGAGGCGGGGAAGCTCGATTCGGGCGCCGGGAGGCTAGATTTGGGCTCCTGCGAGCTGGAGAAGAAGGCCGGCGGAGGTCAGCGTGCTCGTGAAGGCCAACGTGCTCTACTTTTGCATACGCTGTTGGAGGAGACCGGTTCTGGGTGCCGGACTCTGGCTACTGTGCGTGACCTAAATCGGTGAATGGGTCTTGGTTTGGGTACTTGTCGTTGGAGACAGTCTTATGGAGCTAGGAGTTGGGAGCATTTGTAGCTTGTTTGTCATGTTGTTAGCCTTGTCCTTATATTTTGACTCCCAATCCTCCCGTTGGCCAACAGTGATTTTTTTTTTAGTTGGACTCCAGTCGAGAGCCCATGAATACTGACCGAGCCTCTCGACCAGCACCGTGTCGTGGATGAAGAGGCCGGAGGTTTTAGGGACTAGTCAGCCTATCTCATTCGTAGTTTTTAGTGTGCCTTAGTAAAGATAGCTGGTACCCAATCATCCTCGATAAACTTAAAGATCACTTAGGAAAGAAATAAGTTCGAAATTTAGAATTTAATCCATTTTTAATCAATCAAGCATTCCTAGTGTAGTTCGTCATCCTCTTTGTAGCTTGTCCGCCAATGCATGGGTTTTTAAGGATCGCTTTTGTCTTCATCTTAGGGATCAAGTGATCACGTCCCTATGCACGGCGTGCCATGCCTCTGTGAGGGCAAAAGTGGCATATAAATTTCAAGGGCCACATGGTCAGTGGTTATAACTAGCTGTGACAACGAGGAAGGGAGCCACATGGTCATTGGTTATAATTTGCTATGACAACGAGGAAGGGAGCTAGATGGCTGGAAATTGCCTCTCAAGAAAAGCAGAGATTCCACAAACCGAGTAGTCTTTAAGAACTGATCTACAAAAAGATTACATATATATGTTGATATTTCTGTTATGCCAACCAAATAGGACTAGACAAAATACTCACGGCCCGACAGCCGGCTCAACTCGTCGCTGACTCGACTCGTTTTTTCTTTTATATGAGCTGAGTTGGAAGTTCATCTCGTTGCGTCTACCTGTGACTATGACCCCGACCTTGCCTCTCCTGGCTTCACAATCTCATCGTGAAAAAATTATCGAGCGCCACCGCCAGCGACCCCGATTCGGCGAGAGACAACGACTCCTCTGTAGCTCCGCTTCGCGCTCGCCTTAGACCTATTGTGGGCTGGGCCGGGTTTGGTCCAGGCCGAAAAAGGCCTGATATTTCGGGTTGGAATAATCCCGCCCATGACCGGGTTTGCGAGTCAGGCCTATTTTTTCGGACCAGGCTTGGGCATGGACGGGCTGTCCGCAAATTTTATAGAGTAAAAGAATTAAAATAAATATTTTGGGGTGACTCAGGCCGATAATTTTTTTTGGACAGCGAGATATAGGCCCAGGCCCTATACACTAAGGTCCGTGGGTGGGCCAAAACCCAGTGGGCTAGGGCCGGGCCTGCAGGCTGGGCCGGGCCTAATTTGCTTCTAGCTCGCCTAGCCTCCTCTGCTCCGCGCTCGCCCAGCCAACTCCGCTCCGTGCTCGCCCAGCGCCCCAGCCGCCGGCCCATCGGCCTGTGCACTGCAGCTGCCAGGCTACGCGCAACGTGGCTACGTCGACACCAGCCCAAACAGTGCCAAAAAATCTCTCCAAAACTATCATCGTCTCCGAGGGTTTAGGCCCGAAAAAGTGCAGCTCAGTCACGAACAGCAGAAATGGCCACTCGTTGGTAGGGTTTTGGCCCCTCCGCCCATCTCCGCCGAAACACAGCCGCCCGCTAATTCGCCGACCAGCTTGCCATCACACGCTCGCTGCCGCCCCCGCGCCCCTCCCCCTCGCTTCCTCCTCCGCCCCCGTGCTCACCAACGCCAACGCGGCAACGCCCATGGTGCCCGTCTGCTGAAAACACCCGCCGCCGCCATGCCTCGCGCCCAGGTACGTGCTTCTCTGATCCATCAGCTGGCCCGTCGGCGAGTGGACTGGTTCCTGTGGGATTCAGTTTGGTTCGAGGGCGCGGGGCTATGTGGGGGCGTGATCAGCGTAGGGGGGGATGTGGTGTGACCGTGTGACGACTGAGGGCTGAGGCGTTCAGTTTTGGGTTTAATTGGTTGATTGGCGAGCTCTTATTTGCGGTTGGGTTGTGAGGTCCTGAGCGCGTGGGGTTTTAGGATCATGATTTTGGGTTTTCGCAGTGATTCCATGCTTCCTGTTTGCCGCCGCCTTCTTTTACAGTGCATTTTGCGGGGGTGTTTTGTGCTCGAATTGGTCAGTGCATTTTACGGGGGTGTTTTGTGCTCGAATTGGTCTTATCTGTTTGTGTCAAATGAAGCAATTAGTGTGCGGGGGTGTTTGTGTCAAATGAAGCAATGAGTGTGCGGTCATATATTTGTTGGCAGTGTTTGTTCTAAAACATGTAGTAGTATTTGCTGAGCAGTTCCAACCATTTTGTATTGGCAGTGTTCTTAGAATTTTAGCCCTTAACACTGAGTTACAGAGTTATTATGCGCTGGAGTTGGGGTTCTGGGTAGCTTTGCTTACCTTGTGCATAATTTTGGCTTTGTTCAGATGGTGACCCATGGCCTTGGAGCAAAAAGGGATAATGCAGGGGCAAAAAAATCTCCCCAGCAAATCCAGATGCTGGAGAAGTTTTACTCTGGTAATTATAAGCTAATGCTTGGAAGTCCTTTATTGTTGTTATACATTTCATTGTTGCTGATATATCTTTTTATCCAGATGTACAGTATCCAAAGCCAGAGGAAATGGGAGAGTATGCAATCTGTGTTGGTTTGACTTACAGTCAGGTCCGTATATGGTTCAAAGAGCGGAGGAGAAAAGACAGGAGGAGGGAGATGAGAGTCATTGGGGCTCAGATGGAAAGTCAATTTAGAGCACGGTCCACTGGACCTAGATCCAGCAGCAGTTCTTCCTCTTGTAACCAAGCTCCCATCTATGGTATTTCACGTTCACAATCGGAGTTGGACACTTGGGGTATGAGCACTGCAGGAGAGGAAAGTAAAATTATATCACAGGTTCTGTTCCCCAAGGATTATATCCTGAGCAAAATTTTCCCGTAAGGATGGTCCACCTCTTGGTAGTGAATTCGACCGCCTCCCCCAAAGTGCACATGGCTGTAACAGAGGTACACTAGTAACAATTGTAGGTTATTGAATCTTATTTCTAAATCTTTGATTTGCTCCCCCAATGGGTGAATATGTGACCGGTTCCACTAGCAGCTATGTTTATTTATTAATTCTTCTTCATTTATGTTCTCATGCCCACTTCAATTGGTATACTGTTCACTTTAAGCTGCGAAATGTTGTTGTTGGCAGGCTATTAATTCTCCCTACATTTTTGTTGAGTCATTCATTTACTCATTCTGCTATTGTGTCTGAAGTCATATTATGCATTTGCTTGATTTTGTTTGTCACTGTTCACCAATGCTGAACAATTACATTTACTTGTTTTCTGTTGTAGAACTTTAGTATAGTTTTCTGTTAACTTGGTATAAACAGATCTGTTTGGTTGGTTGATTGACAAACACTACAGTGCCAAATGTTAAGTACAAGAGTCCCTTGGACAAGTGTTTGCCAGTGTTTGATTTCCTGGCAGGCTGGCACAAATGTGGCTGTTCACATCTTCTCCTCACCTGTTTAGATTCATTTCTTTGCCAAACCTTCCCTAATGCTTTGCAAACAAATCGTTGGCTACAATGAAACATGTATTTCTGATTTTCATTTAATGTTTTCTAACAGTACTGTTGCTAACATGGCCCCAATCTTTCATATACAAGTTGCATCATTTTCTTGTAGATGCAGTTGATATATACTAATGGTGCTGCGTGCAACTGATACACATGTTCATTTTCTTACATATATTTTGCAGACACTACATGCCATCATTCCTCTGAGAACCAAAGAACTGTGAAGAAGAGAAAGGTACCATAATTCAATAACATTTAGACTGTTTACTCATGTTTTATTTCATTGGCATATTTTTGATTAAACTTCCACTATGCTATTTGTGTCATGCAAGGATATGATATTCTTTATCCAGATGAACTGGTGTTCAGTTTGATATATTTTTTTGTTTCTTTGCAATACCATACCTGTGTTTGCAAGTATTTTTGGTTATCATAAATGCAAGTTCTTACCAATGAAACAAGTATTTTTTTTAATAAAAGGTTTCCCCTGCTTTATAGATTTAAAGCATCCACAGTTTAAGTTCCAAAATCAAGGCGCAGCGTGCTCAGAAAGCCATACGGCTAGATAGGCAACGGCATAGCATAACCAATGAAACAAGTATTGGCACAGTTTGCTCAAGTTCAATAGGTTATCCTATTTGTTCTGTGGATCGGTCCCTAATAACACCCAAATTTGTACTGCCAGTCTGCCATAAAGTATCCACTGTCCCTACCATAGTGGCTACATCATTTGTTCAGATATATTTGGAAATGTCTTTTGAGTGCACTGCTACTTTACACCATTTTATGGTCAGATGTAAGATTAGGCTCCACTATGCCCTTTCTTGAAATTATTTTTCTTTACCATCAACTCATGGATTAAAAAAAAAAAAGCGCTGATTGAAATTTTCATACATGTCAATGTGAGCTGAAATAACTTCCAGTACCATTTCATATTTTATCTTTCTAGTCCATTGTTATTTTCCTCAGAAGTTCTTTATTGTGTCCCATAAACTAAAAATATCAGTTCATATTATTTTCCATGTTGAGCTTTCTGACATTGCACCATGTATGTTATCAAATTGTTCAACTGCAGATCATGGAGTCTACTACTACTAACCAGAGATCTGATGTGTATGAGGATACCGCTCCTGTGCGGAAACATGGAGTTGGCAAAGGTCTCATGACAGTGTGGCATGCCATGTATTCTCATAACGTGAAATGCCAAAGCGGCCCAAATTTCATTGATGAAACTGGTTGTTTGAGGTCCCTTAGACCGTTTGATGATTTTGATGGATTAGAAAATCGTGATAATGGAAGGAAGACTCAAGTAAAGTCTCATTTGTTTGATGTTATTTGGTGAAGATTATATTGTCATTACAGAATTAGCCATTCACAAATCTTTTATGGTTCCTACCTATGTGCAGAATCAAGGTATGACACGGAAAAAAGATAGTCAAAAGGAGTAAAGTTCTAGCTAATAGAAAAAGGTATTTTTCTTGCTTTGCTGAGGACTAAGAAAAAACAGAAAGCTTCTACAGACTACAGTAGCATTAGCACATTTACTAAGTTGGCCATTTGGAGGAAAAACAAAACCTTTTAATTTTGACAGTTTACTTTCTGGGTCATATGAGTGGATTATGAATTTCTATTTTGTTGAACAATGCTGATGATTTCCTCTGTATAGGTGCCGTGTAAGAGAGTTACTGGTCCAAAGGTGCATCCTCCAATGGATTGCCATCTTTCAGTTGATAAATCAGAATCTTCAGAACTACAGACTGAACTAGTGACTTTAGTGGATGATGAGGAGCTTGAGCTCAGTGAATTACAAGCAGGTCCCAATCCATTAAGATGTTCAGCTCACCTGTCTTCAAGTGGTAGACATGACTGCCCCCTTTGTAAAGGTTTGCATATCCGTCTCAATAAGTCATCCCTGTATGTACTCACCTTCTGTAGAAAATAATTATTTATAAAGAATTAACTCATTTATGTTGCAGATTTACTTGCCAAGTTTCCTCCACAAAGTTTGAAGATGAAAAAGCTATTCTCTACAAAACCTTGGGAGTCGTCACCTGAAATGGTGAAAAAGCTTTTTCAGGTCATATGAATAAACTACTACTTTTCTTTATTATTTTTTGTCATCATCATCATCATCTTCTTCACAGACCTGATCAGCTGATCTTGCATAAGAAACACTTAATATTAGCATTTCCATCCAGTTTTCTTTTGTGAATAAGGTAGCACATTTTCTCAATAAAAGTAGGCACATTGTGCTGGCTTCCAGTAACCATCCATCGCTATTGCATGTGTTAATCCAGGAAGTTGGAATGCTTTTACTCTTTTAGATACTGAGATGCGACTTCTTCATTATTATTGTAATTCCATTTAGTTTACTTTGGAACATCAATACCTAGAGATGAAACACATGCTATACATGGTTTTAGTAGCTTTCAAGTTTCAAGTAGTAGTTCTGGGAAGTCAAGGATAGAGAAAAATTAGCCGAAACACTCTTTTCCCCATGGAGCAACTTGACCCTTAAGAAATCAGTCTCTAGAAACAATTCAATCTAATATAATCTTATCTCTAGACAGCAAAGCATACTATCTTATCTCTAGACAGCAAAGCATATCCTAGAGGCACCACAAACACTACCACATTGTTACTGTTTGCACGAACAATAGGCGTGAATGAACAGTGCACTGGCCTTAGCATGGCCTGGGCTGCTCCACGGCATGTGCCCTAATGTGCCATGGCGCTCTTCAGGTCTCCTCTTGAAGCATCTGGATGAAGTTGACAGCAAAAAGGAATGAAGGATTTACCCTGGGTGCACCTCATCTGGAACACCTACAACACAAATGGATAATTTTCACTTGCTTGGCTTGTTCTGGTGGGATGTAATGCTATACTTCAACTTATTCAGAGGGCCTTTTTTCCTGCTCAATAGGAGATGGAACAACTGTTTAATCTGGACTGGCATATAGAACGGCATGCAATGCAACAAAAATTCCTTAAGACTCTTCCCTCTTTTGTGAAGAATGGCTCCATGCAGCAGCATTGGGTGCAGCTTCTGCATCAGATGTTAGAATTACTTAGGTATAATATGGGACACTGGTTTGCAGTTCTTCAGTATGATAGTCATAGGAAAGAATGTCACTACATCTTCTTCATGTAAATCCTCATAGTGGTAGCTTGGCAAATCTGGAAACAGAGAAACTGATATACATATATTTTTATATTTCTAAGGAAAACAACCAAATTTCAAGAACTGGAAGACAGGCTTCAACATTTTGCATTTTGTTGCAATCACATAGGACAAAGGAAACTCTCAGACCATCTCTCTTCTCTTTGTTTCTCCTGTATAGTTTCTCTTCTGTGAACTAGCCTTTTTACCTTGCGCCGTTCCAGCATTCGTACAAGTTTTAGCTCCCATTTATTCATTTTTATTAATACACTGCGGTAAAAGAACCTCTTGGACCATCTCCCTCATTATTTCACTGGTTATACAAAGTTTTTGGCTAGTGGTCATCCCCTCTATGGCCAAATCTTAATCAGCGAATTCTTCAAGAATTCCCATGCAAGTAGGAAGAAGTTATCTTCTGTCATCAAGTAATAATGATATTCGTTATGTAACCGATTAACTTGCCAAGAAATGAATTCAGTTGTTTCCTGCAGTGATATGCACGGGTTGATGCCACTGGGCCTTGCATACTAGATGAATCTTTGCACTTCAGTAGACTCATGTACAGATTTTTGTGCTGTTGATAGCATATGCACGTGTGACCTAGTCCTAGCATTGTACATCAGCTCGATCCCACTTTAAACCTTACTGAGAAGATGGGCACTTAGCCCAAGAATCATTGAAGCTTGTAAGATAATCAATGTAGCAGCCACAAGAGTTGGGAAATTCGCCATTAAACACCGTAACTTTATTTAAACGCCTTGGATGCTCAGAACAGTTACATTTTATATGGGCCATATGCTTAGTTGATTTTCCTCTACCTCATTTTTGTTATCTAATGATCGGTACACATATATTGATTGGAGAATTAATCCTGACAGGTTATCCGGTTTGTATACGCTCATTTTGGCAGTATTGATGTCCACCCCTTCACATTTGATGAGTTTGTGCAAGCATTCCATGACAAGGTTCAAAATTTTGATCAGTTTTCTTTAGAATTAGGACGTTTTCTTGTTTTACTTTCCCATAATCCAAATGTGATTTCCAGGACTCCTTGCTGTTGGGGGAAGTACATGTTGGTCTTCTCAAGCTACTGTTGTTAAAGGCTGAAATGGGAAGTGATGGTGTATTTGTTCCACGATCTTCTAAAGACTGCAGATTTCTCAGTTTCCTGAACTTTGTGAGTTTCAAAGTGTTTATTATAGTTTATTTCAATAGTTGAGCTAATCATTTCCCTGAAGGGGCAATAAGATTACATCTGGTAATTATAGGAGCAATTTTGTTACCCAGTTGTACTAGCTTGTACTGTAGAGTTGTTTGTTGTAATTTACTAAAGGTATTGTTCAAGAAGCACATCAAACAATAGTATGTAAGTATAGTCACTTTACTAATGTAGAATTGTAGCATCGCAGTTTCATCTAACACTATGAAGTCGTTCATCAGACAGAATGCTGACTAATGTCTGAACACTTTGGAGTACCTTCATATTTATAAATTGCCTTTTTTGTTTGGTGGAACGAGGTAGCTTGACTATTTATTTCGGGGTTGCACCGGAGTTGGTTCTTTGATCAGATAAATGATAAAATGGTAATTGCAAAAGTTCATGGATGCAGACCTGCAAAGCTTGCAGCTAGGGAAAATACTTGCTTTTCATAAAGCATATGCAAATAATGGAACAGTTCAAAAATTATTCTACAGTACTATGTGTTGATGTGTAATTTTTGGTCTTCCAAAATCAATGTGCTTCGACGAAGCATTTTTTTTCTTCTGAAGATGTTTTTTTCCAGGTTAGAGAACAAGAATTCGATGCCAATGTTTGGATCAGGTCGCTGAATGCTCTTACTTGGGTTGAAATACTTCGTCAAGTCCTTGTTGCTTCAGGCTTTGGGCCAAAACAGCATTTGCTGAATCAGGAATTCTTTAACAAGGTATTACGGGTAGCTAAGCATTCTAAAGTTTTAAATTGATCCATGTTGCTACTCTCTGCAAATCTGCTAGTGATCCAAGTATCTTTAGTAGTAAAATTCTTTTGGTACCTTCTTCCAGGAGAAAAACCAAATGGTTAAATATGGTTTACGTCCCCGCACACTGAAAGGAGAATTGTTTGCACTGTTGTCTAAGGCAGGAAGTTGTGGGTTAAAGGTTTCAGTACTAGCCAAATCATCTGAGGTATTTATCTTGTTAGTATTGGAAATAAATTGTTGATATTGGTAACAGCTTATTTTCCCTCTGTTTTTAACTGAATTTGTCTGTAACATTTCCCTGATTTTTATCTTTTCAGATTATTGATCTTAATGTTTCAAGCCCATTAGAACTAGAGCAGTTGATCTCTTTAGCTCTCTCCAGTGACATCACATTATTTGAGAAGATTGCACCTTCTGCATATCGTCTCCGTGTTGACCCCAAAATTAAAGGGGAAGAAGATTCTATATTAGATAGTGATGATTCTGGAAGTGTTGATGATGATGAGGATGCTAGCAGAAGTGATGATGGATCTGATAGTTCACAAAAGTTCAAATTTCCTGAGAATGAAAGTAGACTTGCTCGAAGGAAGGAGAAAAATGCACATGAAAGTCCAAATAAATGTAGTGAAATTGATGAAAGTTATTCAGGTGAAAGATGGCTTCTGGCATTGATGGAAGGCGAGTATTCAGATCTAAGCATTGATGAGAAGTTGGATTGTTTGGTTGCTTTGATAGATGTTGTGTCTGGTGCTGGTTCTGTTCCAAGACTTGAGGTAATCTTTAGTAATTATTCAGCACTTCTCACTTGCAGTGTGCCATCTTTGTTCTCAAGAAATTTTACTTTAACTTTACTGCCAGTTTGACTATCAGATACATGAAAGATTGTTACTCTTTGATTCTTTTTTATTGGAAGAGAGACGATCCATAAGTGTGCCGTTATTCTCCCTCTGTCCACTTGTCCAGAAAGGGATGCAATTCTAACATAGTACATAGTCAATGCATACTAAGTTTGACCAAGTTTATGTAGAAAAGTATCAATATTTATGATACCGAATAAGTACCATTAGATTCTTCATTGAATATATTGTAATATTATAACTATTTGATATCATAAATATTGATAAATGTGGTCAAACTTAGGTAGTTTGACTAAGGAGAGAACTAAATTTCATTCTTCTCAGGGCGGAGGTAGTACTTATTATGTGTAGTGTAGGTTGATCACTGTTTCCTGAAAATATCTTTTTCCTCACTTGTATTGTGTTGAATAACTGAAGCGTATCCCATTACTTTTCATTTCTTTTAGGAACCACAAAGAGTCTTGCATAATGTGCCAAGAGTGCATCCACCACAATCAGGTGGGAAAATAAAGAAATCAACAAAAAACCTTTGTCAATATAGCGATGAGTCCTTAAATGGATCAGGAAGTTTGGATTGTTGTCATCAAGGCCGACCAGGAAGGCGAAAAAATCAGGATTACACCACTGACCCTGGAAGGAACGATCTGCCTGTCGCTGCTCATGAACCACAAGTTGTTCTCTTAGGATCAGACCGTAGGTATAATAGCTATTGGCTCTTCCTTGGTCCTTGTAGGGAAGATGATCCAGGGCATCGTAGGGTCTACTTTGAGTCCTCAGAAGATGGTCACTGGGAGGTGATCGATTCACCACAGGTTGTCCACATGCCAACTCTACTCAGATATCAATTTTCTTATTTGAGGTTAATTTTGTAAAATTACCTTAGCCTTTTTTTGGGGTCATTGCAGGAATTACTTTCCTTGCTATCTGTCCTCGATAGCAGGGGCACTAGGGAAGCACATCTCCTTACATTGATGGAAAAGAGACAAGCCTGCCTTTTTGAAGCCATGAAAAAACATGTGGAAGGAGGGAAGGCAGCCAGGCTTTCAGCCTCATCTGATTCATATTGCTCCCAGGCAAGTAGTGGAGATGGAGCTTCGCCCAAGACAAGTAGTGTAGATGGAACTTCACCTGTATCAGACATTGAGAACACTTCTGTTCCTACAAGCCTCAAAGATAGTAATTTGGATTCATCATCTGCCATAGTAATTGAAAGTGGGAGGAGAGGTGATGAAAAAATATCTATGTGGGAACGGTTGCAAGCATTTGATAAGTGGATCTGGACTTCTTTTTACTCCATCCTTACTGCTGTTAAAAGTGGCAAGAAGTCATTTAAGGAGTCACTAGTTCATTGTGAAAGTTGTCATGATCTATATTGGAGAGATGAAAAGCACTGTAGAATATGCCATTCAACTTTCGAGGTTGGTTTTGATCTTGAAGAAAAATATGCTGTACATGTGGTGACGTGCAGGGAACCTGAGCTTTCACATGAGGTGCCAAATCATAAATTTCTGCCATCACAGCTACAGGCACTTAAAGCAGCCATTCATGCTATTGAGGTTAGTATTTCAAAACACATGCAACTCCTATACAGTTTCATAATCGGGACCAATTTGTCCACACATAGGATTATAACCTACTTATTCAAATAAATTGAGAAACACATGTTTCTAGTCGGATTTAATTTTCTTATAATCTGTCACATGTAGGCATCTATGCCTGAGGCAGCTTTTACTGGTTCTTGGATGAAGTCTGCTCACAAGCTGTGGGTTAAGCGGCTGCGACGAACGTCATCATTGCCAGAGCTTTTGCAGGTCAGTAAAAGATTTTCAGGTCTTTATTTTTGTTTTTAATACCTGAACCTTCCATTGCAGTAGTATATTTAGTTTCTACTGCCTTTTCTCTTCCATGCTTATATTCTGCTACAGGTTCTTGTCGATTTTGTTGGGGCAATGGATGTTGATTGGTTGTACAAAAGTTCATCTTCTGCGAGATTTAGAACATATCTGGATGACATCATTGTCTACTTTCAGACAATGCCACAAACAACATCAGCAGTTGCACTTTGGGTTGTCCAATTGGATGCCCTCATTGCGCCTTATTTGGATAAAGCCATGGCAAGTATGTTTTTGTTCACAATCGCAATGTCTAATGTTCATAGTCATCTTATTCCCCATAGCTGATGATGCATCTGATTTTTGTTGCAATGTTGTCTTTGGAAAATAACAGTTTCAAAGTACTGAGGTCTAGAAGCTGCATTTATGGTTCATTGTGTGCTATCAATTACTATCAGAGTTTCATAGTCAAGCAACGGCTGGTTTGGTTTGTAGCCACAAGTTAGGCACTTCCTTAGTGTGTTTGGTTCACGCCACAACTTTCTTAGCCCTATGCCCTAGATGTCACTAAAGTAATTCACAACTGTGGTGCCCATTTTGTTGGCCACACCTTTTGTGGCTGCCACGTTTTGCCTAAAACCTTGGTTGTGGCAAAGTTAGGCGCCAATCAAATAGGAATATTCATACTGCTTGAAAGATATTTGTGATTGATATTCAACTTTGTGGCAAGGCTTCATTGTATATGTTCTTGCACGGTATTATCACTAACACTTACAAACAAGAATTTTGGTTATTATAAGTTGAAATTTCCACTTTGTAGTTTCTATCTGTTCCTGCGCCTTTTTGTTTGTTATTTCATCAATTTACATTTTGTTGATTCTATGATGCAGGAGGACAGGTGGCGTGTGCTAGGTAGCTAGGAAGATGGATTTTTTTGCGTGATGCTCAAGCACCCCGAGCTGGCTTCTTTTTCTGGCGTCATTTGCAAGTTTTTTCTTTATGAAAGCTTTTCATCTAGGTGAGAGAACATGGGTCCGCTTTGAGCTTGAGAACAAGATCTCGCAACTTGCTGTAAATCATGGAATATATTGTTTCCTCCCACCGGAGCATTGTGTCATATAGTAGACAACGGAAAAGTTTTGTCAATAATCGTTGCTCCGGATATGTGAAAGTTTTGGCTTTCCTTGTAGCGACACAATTGGGGTGTAGGCCATTTCTGAAACAGACTGCTGTCTGTAGGTGGTGCTGGTTGGGACTTGCTACCAGCTGCGCCCTCCTTAGTTTTAACGAAGGGGTGGTTATAGTTTTGTTCCTTCTATCTCTGTATATGCTACGTAGCTCGTCCGTGAACTTTCAACATTGGGTGCGCCCTATTTTTGTATGGTGTATAACCTGTTTTCCTAATAGAGTGGCAGTTGGAGTCTTGGAGACACCACACATGCAGCTGCAATTTGTTAACATGTAAACCTGGGTTGGTTCCTAGCCCCCCTGTTTTACTCATACACATGACAGTTGAGTAGTTGACACATCACACTCGCTTATTCGTTTCGTTTTGTAAAGGACTCCAGTACCAGACAGGGTCGAGCCCCATGATGGGCTGGCGGCTGGTCCAGCACATGTTTCGGCCGCCACACAGCAAAGACCCGCTTGGCGTCGCCGCGGAGCTGCACGGGGGGAAAGCGGTCGCCGTGCTGCAACTGCAAGAGATGCCCCTGCCGGGCGTGGCTTGTACCGTGAACGATGTAGTGTAGGGCTCTGTTCGCCGATATGTATCATCTCGCTTGTATTTTGTGCTCTACTTCTCTCTTTCATGTTGCAAGGTATTTTGAGTGCAATTCTTTAATTGCCCTTCAATCCCCTCCAATCCACTCGGTCTGGGAATTAACTGAACAAGCTCAGAAAAGTTGTAACTAGGATTTGAATGTGCATTGTTCTTATAATCTTATCCCTCCAAACCCCATGCTCCACCCAAACCCTAACCTTGTGGTGCATTGTTCTTCTTCTTATTCTTCCTCATCGACATTGTTTCTATCCACTCATGCGTGGACGCGTGTGAAGCGGGGGGTGGAGGGCTGCCTGGCTGTAGCCCCCTCAGGAGCCTTAAATCACATGTAAAATACTGTTAATTAGCCTCTAAATCATCATTATTTTCTTAACTCTAGCCCTAATCTTCACTATTTAGGCCCCCCTGTCCGAATACTATTATTTTTGAGAAATTAGGCATAATGTCACAATCATGTGGATTGTAGCTCATAGCGCATATATGATTGTTTAGGGGACATCGCCATTCACGTGCTGGACGGGACAGAACACGATCACGTCAATGGAAATGGAAGCAGCAGCCGCCGGCAAGCTGAATGTGTTGCTGTTCCCGTGGCTGGCGTTCGGCCACATGATCCCGTTCATGGAGTTCGCCAAGCGCCTGGCGGCGAGGGGCCACGCCGTCACCTTCCTCTCCACGCCGAGGAACGTCGCCAGGCTGCCGCCCGTGCCGGCGGACCTGTCGCCCCGCTTGCGCCTCGTGGCGCTGCCCGCGCCCGTCGTGGAGGGCCTGCCCGAGGGCGCCGAGTCCACGGCCGACGTGCCACCGGAGAAGCAGGAGCTGCTCAAGAAGGCGCTCGACGGCCTCGCCGCCCCGTTCGCAGCGTTCCTCGCTGACGCCGTCGCCGACGGTGGGAGGAGGCCCGACTGGATCATCATGGACTTCTGCCACCACTGGCTCCCCGCGATCGCCGAGGCGCACGGGGTGCCGTGCGCCATGTTCCTGATATTGCAGGCGGCCTGGATCGCGTTTATGGGGCCGCGGTCGGCGAACGCCGCGCATCCGCGCACGACGGCGGAGGACTTCACCGTGCCGCCAAGGTGGCTGCCGTCGTTCCCTCCCGCCATCGCTTACCGCTGCCACGAGGCCGACTGGCTCCTCGCCGCGTTCCAGCCCAACGCGTCCGGGGTGTCCGACTTCGACCGCTTCTGGCAGGCAATGGATGGCACCCGCCTCATCATCTACCGCAGCTGCGAGGAGGTCGACGTGCCCGGGGTGTTCCCCATCCTCACCGATCTCTTCCAACAGCCGGCCGTCCCCGCCGGGGTCTTGCTGCAGCCTGTACTCGACGACGACGACGACCATGACTCCTCCATATCAGTATCAGGGGCACGTCCCGAGGTCCTTCAATGGCTGGACAAGCAGACACCCAAGTCTGTCATCTACGTAGCGCTGGGAAGCGAGGCGCCGCTGACCGCGAAGACCCTCCATGAGCTCGCGCTGGGCCTTGAGCTCGCCGGCGTCCGCTTCCTGTGGGCTTTCCGCAAGCCGGCCGGCATGTCCGCACCCGGCACCGACGACGACGTGGGCGAGCTGCTGCCTGCCGGGTTTGAGGACCGGACGCGGGGGCGCGGCCTGGTGTTCCCCGGGTGGGTACCCCAGGTGCGGGTGCTCGCGCACGCCGCGGTGGGCGCGTTCCTGACGCACTGCGGCTGGGGCTCCACCATCGAGGGCCTCGTGTTCGGACACCCGCTGGTGATGCTCCCGTTCGTCGTTGACCAGGGCCTCATCGCCCGGACGATGGCGGAGCGCGGCGTCGGCGTGGAGGTGGCGAGGGACGAGAGCGACGGCTCGTTCGACAAGGACGGTGTCGCGGAGTCCGTGCGACGTGTCGTGCTGGAGGAGGACGGCAAGGTGTTCGCGAGCAACGCGATGAAGCTCAAGGAAGCTCTTGGCGACCAGCGACGGCAGGATCGGTACATGGACGACCTTGTAGGGTACCTTACACGCTACAAGGGCAAGGACTGGGTAACTACACTTCCTGACTGTGTCTATCCAAGATAATTAAGCTTTGCATGTAAGGCTTTGTTTGGATGCGCATGTATTCATCTTAATTCACATGTGTTGAAGTGGATTATATTGTAATTAAACTTAAGTTCCATTTCATTCTACTCCAACACACGTGGATTGAAGTGGATAAACATACATCAAACAAGGTCTAAGCTAATTACTGTTGGAAATAAGCTTTGCATTGCAAAGAGGGCTCTAGTACTCTACTTTAATTACTACTGTTGGAAATAAGCTTTGCATTGCAAAGATGATTATAAACTTATGATTATTGAATAGTATATTTGATTACCAATCTAATTATATCACAATAGCTAAAAATTCTTGGTCAAAGGTTGTAAAGTTTGAACTTGGTATTCATAAACGCCTTAAGTTTGCACACATTAAGTTAACTCCTGTTGGAAGTGAGCATTGCATAGACAACTATACTTTGAAATCTTTGATCAATAGTTTAGCTCACAATTTTTAAATTTTATAATACAAATTTGATATGGTTAGATTTAGTATTAAATGTACCATCCAATCCAATATCATAAGTTTGTAAGTATAAACAATATTATAAAAAATAGTCAAAATATATTTGGGAGGCTCTGTAATGTCAAATCGTACCTTATAAAGAGAATGTAGGGAGTAAGACTAGACAATTTTGAAGGCCTCTGTGCTACAGATTCTGGTGTATCGACATATTATTAGATGCAAACAAGCCTAATGATCCGTTCGTCCCACAATAATTGATTATTAGCTAGAATTTAAAATCTATTCTAAAATAACTGATGTTTTAGCTTTTTAGGGTGGGAACAGAACAATCAGTCACTCACGCCTCCTCCTTCCCCTATCAATATATCTCTCCTGGGAACAAAAGGTAACTTAAGGGGTGTTTGTGACTGCTGCACTCTATGGTTTTTTAGCTCCGCTCTATGTTTTTTAGCTAAACAAGTTGAGCTCCACGTACTCTACTTGAAAAAAAACGGTGGAGTTGTTAAAGCACCTAAAGGGTGCTCCACAAACTCCAGATGTTTTTTGAGCTGCTCCACGGTAGAGTTTGTGGAACAGAGTTCGTAGAGCAGTCCCAAACACACTCTTAATGTGCATACAGCGCAACGCGTCATTAGCTATCACCTTTAGGGCCTGATTGATGGTGCTTTATTTGGCTTCATTGAATTCTAGTTCATGTCTAGAGGACGAAAGAGCCGTTTCTCTCCCAAACAAGACCGTAATCTGCCGTGTCAAAAATTTAAAACGTTAGTTGTTTGATGATGGATGGAGAAGGTCATAAACCTCTGTGCTCAGACCACAAATGGTCGGTGACGTATAGTACGTATTGCTTGCGTGCTCGGTCCTCACCTGGCAGGTGTGCTGTCTGCCTCCTCCAGACCTCCACTTTTCTTGCCCCTTGTTCACGCGTGCCCCCCCACGTGCGCATGTGTTGGGGGGATATTATTGTTAATAGTTGCTCAGTATCTATTTCAGGAAATAATATAATATATGAATCGCTCAATGTCTCATGGCCTTTAGCTGGTTTTGGATCGGGACCGATTAGCAGAGCCGGAAATCTAATGAGGTGCATTTTTTTTTTTGATAACAACTCATATATATTATATTAAAACAGTAGCCATTTTACAAAGAGGTCCTCAAAAGAAGACATGATTACATCAAAGTCCTGCAGCCGGATGGGGAGGCAGCAACGTCAAAGGCGATGGGGGAGACAAGGTCACCGACGGAGGGTCGCAGGGGCGTCAAGGATGCATACACCTGGGTGGACTAACCGCGCAAAGCGTCGGTTAAAGGTGGGACGGTTGAGCCATCGGAGGCAACGCACACTAATGACCGAAGGATGCAGATGGAGCCGTTGCCGGAGGTAGAAAAAGAAGCTCAAACCAGGATCCCAGGTGGATGCGGAGCTGTCGAACCAACACCATAGGAGGAGCTGCCTTGCTAAAGAAAGGAGCACCAGACCGGAGGCTGCTGAACGGAGAGGGATGCGTGCGGCGAAGGTTGCGGATCGGGAGGGGACGGATCTCGCTGGTGATGGATGGATGTGGAAGAGAGGGTGGTGGGGAGGAGATCCGCGGGGAAGAAGAAATGAT